TAACACTAAATAATTACATATATAATACTGACTAATAATATATATTAAAATAATATAACATATAATATAAATTAATAACTAACATATATATAAAATACATAATATAATAACTAATTATAAATCAAATAAATATAATATTATAATAAATAATCATAATATACTAAACATAACATATAATAACAATATACAATAATATATAATATAATAAATAATTATATATAATAAAAGCTTAAATATAAAAATATATACTATAAAATAAAAAATATATATATATACTTATAGAATATCAACCACACACACACACAACACACACACAACACACACACACAACACACACACACACACACAACAACACACACAACACACAACAACCAACATCACACACACAACATACATAAAATATATATTATTAATACAATAATAGATATGAATTATATATAATCACAATAATAGCGCACAAATATATAACAAAACAAAAATACAAAAACCTAACTATATAATAACATACAACAACATAATTATATAAATAAATATAGTATATATAATATAGTATATATAAAAATATAATATACCTACAAAATACGATATAAACATATACAGCACACAACATCTTACAAAAAGTATCACTATTAAACTCACAAATATACATTACAATACTAAATATAATATATAACAAAATAATAATATAAAAAACATAATATATAAAATAATATAATATATATATATGAAAATATATATATATATATGGTTATATAATGATGCATATGTAAATTAATTCTGTGATATTACTATAAAGACCACATCATCCTCATCGTTAAGTTCCTAGTGAAGTGTCTATTCACATGAATTATAATCCACAATAAAATACCAATCTATAACACAATATACAAATAGTTAAAACATATCATACATACATATACAGATCATACAATAATAAACAATTATACAAAATATAATATTAATACATAAGAATACAAAATAATAGCATATACAGTATATATACAAGATATACAAAAAATAATTATACACATATACAATAATATACAAAACTATACATAACTATATATAAATATATAATATAATATAATAATAAGAATACAATACTAAATATATAATATAATATATTATATATGTATGTTATGTATTGTACGTCGATATATATGTAAATCATGTCAACGCATATTAATATTATATGTAAACTATTATGAGTTGTGAATGTAAATTAGAATATGAAAAAATATAGTATAATAATAATAATAGTATATATATGTATTAGTATATAGTCACTCAGCCCCTCCTACCATAAAAAATAATAAAAATATAATTAATAATTATATAAATACATATAGAATATATATATATATAAAGTAATATAATAATAATATAAAATGATATATATAAATATATAATATTTATATGTTATATTATAATATAATAAGTAGTGTGCGAATAAGATAATACAAAAAAACAAAAAGTAAAAAAAAATATGACAAAATAAAATAATACAAAACATAAATATATAAACTAAAAAATAAAAATGTGTGTATAGATGTGTGTGGAAAAGAAGAAAGAAAAATAAAGTAAACATGTGATGATTGTGCTGTGTGAAATCAAACAATACGTGATAGTTAGTATGTTGTATGTGTGATGTGATGACAAAAAGATAGAAATATATAAATACTTAGTGTGAAATAAAGTAGTGTGTGTAGGATGTGTGTGTGGTGTATGTGTATCTGTAATATCTATATAATAATATAATTATATATAAATATAAAGCATATAAATATGTAATAATAGATTAACACTCAATGACACTAAAACAAATCATATAACACACAAAAAAACTATAGACCACAATAATATGCATAAGATAGTAAGAGCGTACAACAACTCATGTACTCATTGCTACGTCATCTAATAATCCAATAAAGTGTAAATAGCTATAAGCTAAACTACTACATATAATCTAAAATGATAGCTTCACTCACTCATATTGATACAAAAGCTCACTAATATCTAACACCCAACTACTAGTACTACCCCACCTACTCACTGATCATCATAGTTACATAATATATATATAATGATAATATTAAATATGTATATAGTAATAACTCAACATATATATGTTCTACAAAATCAAGTTAAATCAAAGTATATAACGCTGAAATCATACTAAAACAAGATATAATAATTAAAATTTATAGATAATATAAATAATTAAATAAAAACATATATAACTAAATTATATATATAAAATATTTATATACAATAAATGTATAAATAATATATACATATATATATATATATATATGATATATATATTTAAATTATTTTATATCTGAATATCATATAAATATATATCATATATATATGTATATTTAAATATTTTAATATAAATATATATAAATATATATATTTATTAATATATATTTACATATATAAAAATATATAAATATAACTAATATATATAATATAATAAAAAGACTAAATATATACTAATATATATATAATAATAATATATTAGCTGGAAATATATATTCAATATACTATATATATAATAATAATATATATAATAGTATAAATATATATATATATAATTAAAACATAATATAATATATAAAAAATAATATATAATATTATAAATTTATTATAAAAAATAATTTAAAATATATAATACTCACACTAACACATATAAAAAAATATAATAATTCTATATAATATTATAATTTATTATATAAAATATATAAAATATAATATTAAATAAGATAATAATAATATATATAAATATATATTAAGAACTATATAATTATTTATATTAAAATATTAAATAATAAACCATAAAAATAATACAATACTTATAAATATAATAACTAAATAGATTAATTAAAACTAATAATAATAATATTTATAATACATAATTATATACTTTATATATAAATATTATAACATAACAAAATAAATATATATATTTATATTAAATATATAAAATAAAAAACACATTAAATAACACAATATAAAACTTAATCCTAATATAACATACTAACTATAACACAACAATAAATATGAAAAAAATATAATTACAAAATATAAATTAAATAATAAAAATAACATAAAAACATAACATATAACTAATAAATCTCAACTCACTAAAATATAATAAATAAAATAAAAATATAAAAAAATAATATACATAAATACTCAAATATATAAATATCAACTATATTAAATAAATATTAATACAAATAATAGATTACAATAATACATCTGTTACATATAATATAAATATGAAGCATAAATATTAAAAAAAAACAAAAAGATCATAAATAATAATAATATACAACACATATAGACCATATACAAACAAACTAATAAAACTACCAATATCATACCTCATACATTATAAACAATAATACTCAATTAATATATATATATATATATATCATATATATAAATATTAATAATTAGTCATAATATAACTCTATACTATACATATATAAACAATATATATAATAATATAAATAACATAATATATATGAATCATCAATAATAAAATGAACACACAACAACAACAACCTAGATGAATGATACGTGTGATGAATACAAACTCCCATACAAAGAAAAAAAAAAACAACCAATCCAAACAAAAACATGTGTGTGTGAAATAATAACCCACAATGATGTGAACCGAACTGTGCTGGATCACATAAAAAAAAAAGAGTAAACTGATTTGGTCAGATAGAGCTGTGTGTGTGTGAGAAAGCACACGAATGAAAACAAGTCCGACCCTGTCAGTGTGTAAGCTGTGTGATGGACCACAGCTAAGAATCCTGTCGCATGGTGCATGTGATGATGATGACTCGAAATTAGCAGTGCTAGTTGTGAGGAACAAATCGATGAGATGGTAGCGTGTAGGATGGTATTGGTGTGTGTGTGACAGTAGAGAACAAAATAAAACTAAAATGTCGCTGTGTCGTGCCAATCATAAATGTGTAGTGTGAGAGATGTGTAGTTACCATGTAGTGTGATGAGTAAAGTGATGAAAAATAAACATGTGTGTGATTACATACGTAGTGTGTGAGTGATTAGTAGTTAGTGAATATGATCAATAGTATGTGTGAAGATCCAAATAGTGACTGTGAGGTGTGATAGTGTGAAGAGTGATGTAGATGAGTGTGTGTGATCCTGTGTGTGTGTCAAAAATGATAGCTACGATTGTTCCAATGTGATGTGAAACTGAAAACAAAAAAGGAAAAAAATGTATGGTAGTAACTTGTGTATGTGTATGTAGTGTAGTGTGGATGTGTGTGAAAAAGAAGTAATAAAGAAAAAGTTATGATAAGAATATGGTATGTGTTAGTGTGTGGATGATGTATGGTATTGATGGTGGTGTGTGTGTGTGTTCCATGGATGTGTGTGAGTGATAGTCTTGTGTCTGTGTCCATGATGATGTAACTACGAAAGAAACACAAAAGAAAAAAAAAACAAAAAAAAAATGCAAAATATATATGAATGTCTGTGTCTGTGTCTGTGTCCTATTGAGTAGTGTGCGGTGTGATAATATTTATGTGTGTGTTGTGAGTGTGTAAATACCTTTTAAGTGAAGGGTAAGACTATTAGTTACTAATAGTATTAATATACCAAGAAATTGATATGTTATCTTTTTATCATGCAGGAATGTAACTTAATAACAGCTGAATATAAGTGCTGTTTAATAAAGGTCTAAGTTGTTTGGTTTATTGATGCTTTCTTATCTGTAAATAGATCACACACTATGCATGTATGAGTAATAATGATTAGAAAATTCACTGGCTGAATTATGGGACAATTTTTTAAATAACTGAATCTGGGGATGGTGTATCAGTCAGAACGTTCGCTCCAGAAGTTACCTTTCATTCTTTTTCCTATCTGTTATCTGTCTTTGTTAGAAAATGATTTCCATCTTATTAACATTTTTCCTTTTGAAAATATGGATTGTTGAACCCTTTTCATCTTTTCAGTGACAGGCTGCATTTTTGTGGTGAAGAAAATGTGGCCCCCCTTTCAAAGGGGAATGTTTTGTGGTGACAAATCAATCAGCTACCCTTATGTTGATGATTCTGATGAAAAAGTGTCTGATGCAGCCCTATTGCTTATTGGGGTTGTCATGCCCATGGGCCTG